AGGTAAAGAGAACATGGAGTACTCGAAGAGCATCACAATATGATCACTACCATCAATTAGCGGGAGATATTGTACGTCCAGCACACTCCTCATCTTGAGTGAGCACCGGGTCAAGGCCATCTGAACGTTGCCCTTCCTTAACACGTGTTCCGAGAGTCACATTCTGGAAAAGTAGTTTTTCTGCTGCCCATTGAAGCAAATGTTGTCCGAATGTGTTCGACAGACCCGATATTGGGGGACGATGAATTCCCCAACAATAATGACGTCTCTGTTCGAGCAGGTCTTGCTCAGTTCTGTTAGGAGAAGACCATCCTGTTCGGCAATCTGGTTTGGGGAACGATGTACAACCGCAAACTCCAGCGGCCGCGCGTGTTTAGTGGAGAAAGTTAAAGATAACAATTCCACTTCCGCTGTTGTTGTTTAATATTGCTCAGGGATCGCGGTCTGGTTGTAGCTAACATAGACAGCGACCCCTCCTCCTCGGCTTTTTCTGTCTCTTCCAAACAGTTGATAGCCTCTGAGGGATACCTCATGATCTCGAACAGCTTCAGAAAGCCATTTTTCTGTCAGTGCAATGGTATTTGGCGAGTGTTCGTCGACCAGAGTCCTGAGCTCGTCCATCTTGTTAAACAGGCCTTGTGCAATCGAGTACATCAACTCCAGTGTCCGTCTTCTCGGAGAAAACCAGCCCTGATTATAAAGGGGGTTGGCGACTGGGACAATCGCGTGATCCGTACTATCTTCCCTTCCTTTATTTCAACCCTTTCTTCCCGTCTCCTGTCCTACTTTCACTTCTGTCTAGAGCTCTCTCATCTTGTGTCTTGCCGTCGGCTCTTTATCCTGATGAAAAACGCCTCCGCATGAGTATGACGAAGAGGCGTCCTCCATTCTAGGATATGTAAAGCCTAGACGGCATTTGGGTATGCTCGAAAAGGGGTTGAGATCGTGTTCCACCCTTTCTTTTGCAATCGCAGAAGTGGACTCAGGCGGTCCCTTTGTCACGATATTTCGTTTTCCGTCAAGATGCATGTGTGGTAACTCCGCATATGCTTTATGACGATGCCTTTACTGCGATCAAGTAGAGGGCCCTGGCGTTTAGTTTTACACACGGGGCCAACATTGCGCCACTTCCCTCATCATTATCGTTTGATTCAGAGACGGCTGTCTTGGCATGGCGACCGCAGAATTTCTCACCCACCGGGGCTTCTTGGTCAGGCGGTCCATCCTTCGGCAGTACGGTATTTGCTCAAATTGTTTGTAGAATCTGGTCTCGCCTACTGACACTCTGACCTACTTTGTCTTTTCTGGATGCCCTTGGGCGCTTCTGCGTTTTCTGAGATCCCTTTCTGTCGTCCTGTTCTCGCAAAAAGGTAGCTTCTCAGTTGTGATTAGGTCCTTAGACGGGCTGTCTTCTTCCCGAGCGACTGACACTGTGAGACTGTGGGCTAGCACGTTCTTTGTATTTTCCAAAGTTCTGGCTTCGCTGATTTTCCCTTTTTGGGTGAATGGAGAGGAAGTTTTAGCAACTTCTCCATCCCCATTTTAGGTCTCTTATCTCATTCTCCATCCTCATGACCTTCTGCAGAATTCTCAGACATGCTGCGCGGGTTTCGTCTCCCTAGTTATCATCTGTTAAAGTTGCTAAATTCTTGGCGGGCTAGGCGGGAGGAGATTTGATAGCAGGATGCCCGACACCGTATTCGTTTATACAATGCGCATTAATTGTTTAATCGTTTTTCCAGTCCGTCTGCTGCGCATCAGTGGTCTATTGGTAAGAATGCCGGTCTCAATTCCGACTTTCGCACAACGTCTCGAAGGTACCTGTTGATTACCATTATTAATCAAATAAACTGAAAACGTTTTTAAAAGAGTGGGAGGAGCTATTTAACCCGACAAAGGACATGAAATAAATAGCAAACGACTCAGCTGTTCTTGGACTTGGGAAGTCTCGCTGTGCTGTTGAGAGAGAAGCTATCCGAAGGAGAATGGTTTACCAACGAAAGTCTTGTTGAATTGCCGCGAGGACCGAGGTATTGCCGATTAATAATCAGTTTCTTAATCCAAACGGGCCTTGAGAGAGTACAGTAAACAAAAATTTCGACAAAAACAAATCCATCAGAGGTCGAAAATTTTTCTTTTTTGTCATAAAAAGAACCCTCCACGATGGATTTGTTCCCCATGACATAGTAGTCAGCCATTTATACTGTTCGGAGGTGTGGAGGCGATTGCGTTGGGCGGTGGGAGAAATCGACGTGAATTGCGATGATATGGGTGTGCATGCTTTGTCATTGTAACGCGCCTGCATACACAACGTATAAAACCAACCTTTTTGACGAAAAAACGATATGAGTTTGGTTTCTTATCCCTGTAATCTCCCGGCCCGATCTCCTGTGGCTTCTTTTTGTTCCTGAGAATGAAAAAAGACACAGGAGAATGTCTTTTCAAAACGTAGAGGACGATTAAGAAAAAAGTCGTCGAAGGCACTAAACAACGTTAAGTCAGACGAATAAAAATTGCTTTCAACAACGCGAAACACGTCGAGAGAGTGCACATCATCTATTGGACAGTATTTTAAAGAAGATTGACGTTGTTAAAATTCTACTTTAGATAAAACCCAAAATGAACAATTCTCGGTCCTTACATATTGCCTTATATGTTCCGTCCTTTAGCATCTTGATGCTCTTTTGCTTTCTGATCCTAGTTTTAGTTGTCCGAAATCAGCAAGGGCATACCTTTGTTTCTAATGAAGATCAGCCGTAATTTTGTTCTTCATTGGACGAACTTTTGTGTCATTTTGACAATGCTCTTCGCTTTGGCGCTAGGGTGTGTCTCTTGATCATTCAACCCGTCCCAACGTTTGTTCAGGGGCGAAAACACTAAGGGCTCAGACCGAGGCAATTGACAGTTCGACGGCCCACCTCGACGATGTCCACCGTGTGTTCACAACAGACTGAGAGCAGGCACGGTGACATGTGCGCGAATTAGATGATAGTGATACTAGACTTGCACGGCGTCTACCGCATTCTCTTCTCCTTCCCTAACTGAGCTCGGTGTCATGACATAGTCGAGGGGTTTGAGAGGGCGCAGGTAGCTGGCGCGGCCGGACCTGCACCCGGGCGTGCCAACACACCCCTGGTACACAACAAACACGACCAAGACTTTATTCACCAAGAAAAGGAGAGAAAGGACTGCTTGGAACCCAAGTTTGCGCGGCGAGAGCATGCAACTGGACCTGCAACAACAACCGTGGTCCACAATACACACTTACCAGGATTTATACTCCAACAAAATAACAAGGATGATGGCTAGCGCGGCCATTGCCAGTCCTGACTCTGATCTTACTGAGTGGGAGTGCCAAAGAGGTCATATTTTGAAGGAGCCATTGCAGCCTGACTCTCAAATCACCAATAGGCCACACCACATAAACTCATATACTGGGCCAAGTGCGAGTCGTAAGTTATTAGTCTGCTGACAGTCTTCCAAATCACACCAGAAGGAGCAGGACGACACAATTCAGTGGACAATAATGCGCACGACCTGTGTATCCAGTGGGAGTGAAAACACACCCACCGGCAGAGAATCATTAACCAGAGGGCTGCCTGCGCGCGCTTGACTGCAAGGGCCATGGTTTGCTAAAGCGTGGCATAGCATACGCACACAATCCTTAAAGCCCACAAAGGTGATACGGTGCCCTGCGTTCCGCCCAGGCCAACGCCCTTCAAAGGCCGTGTGACCACTCAGTCATATATTGGGGGGTATTACCCATATACACACACACACCCCTCGTATGCGTGCCACTACCAGAGGAGCCGTTGTGGCCTGACTCAGCTCAGCAATCTGCTACTCCGCGCAAACACACACAATTGGGCTGATTGTGTGGACTGAGTTGATGCTTCAATCGGCAACTTTTCAAGCCACGGCGCTTTGCCAACCTTGATAGCCTCGAGCTCGGGCCACACATGCGGCAGCGGCGTCAATGGAGAAGGAGCCGAGATCGCATTTCCCACTTACATGAGCGTGCTTGCTTTGTGTGCTGATGGATAATGTTAATGTGTGTTGCGGGCGCTGGCGGCTGTGGTGTGACCGGCTGCGGTTCACCGCAGGTTCTCATGAGTGCGCATGTGGCCTAGTAAGCTCATGCGAAGACTGAATGTGCGAAGGCAATAAGGCGTGTTGAAACGAGGGGGTCTGGCGTATGCATGTCCTCCAGTCACAGGTCAGCCAGTCGCTGTGCGATTGTACCACGGCAAATTTCGCTATCCTGTATGTTCATGTGACCAAGTAAAGTATGAAGCGCGTGAAGTCGCGTAGGCAGTGTTGACGGTAAAGACGGATGTGGTGGGTGAGTGTGATTGCTTCAGGCACTGGTTTGCCGGCCTCCTTGCGATGGATTTGCAAGTGACCGATCAGGCCTACGTGCGAGGTGAATGTGCGATTGCAATGAGGACAGGTTGAGACCGAGTCCACATCGGCGGATGTGGGAGTGTTGGTGGTGACGGTAATAGATGACGGGCGTTGAATGCCGTCCAAACGGCGGGGAAAGACGAGAGCTTGCAGTGCTGGCGGAGCTGTTCACTGCGATCGACAAAGGGTTGAGGGCAGTGCGAAGGATTCTGGAGATGGATGGCGGCGGGGCATAGGTGGCGTGATCATTGATGACCTGGGTGGTCGTCGTCACGGGGTTCGCAGCACTGGTGGTAGTGCGAGCGTTCTTGGGAGGAGAAGTTGACGGCTGGCGGGTTGTTGGTGTCCCAAGGTTTGGTTCGTGGCATAGCTGGAGTAGACTGTCTACGTTTCCGCATCGTACAGAAGTGTCGTCAGAACGACGGCCTTTGTACATCTTCAATTTGGTGTTCATTAAAAGTCCTAGGAGATTCCGCAGAAAGTTCAGCAGCCGACAAATGCTCGGCTGGTTTTGAATCTCCGATAGGCCACTTCATCGTTGATTCTGATACAGCGTGACACTGTGCTACCTAAGTAGGTGCAGTCGTCCACAGTACTCAGTTAGGTGTCGTCGACATGTACACGAAGGACGTTGTATTCAACTTTCGGTGGCTGTTGATGCGTGACCACAGTTTATCCGTACTAATTGTCGGGCCGAAGTTAGCGCAGCCGGAGGCGAAGAGATCTATGCTTCGTTGCATGTTTTCCTCGGTCGCAATGTTGAGTTCGCAGTCGTCGACGAAGAGGAGGTCGTGATAAGTAGCTGTGAAGAGATGCGGCGGGGCCGGCATTCGCCGACTATTAAGAAGGTACCTGCCGGCCCCGTAGGCGATGCGGACCCCAGGGCATTCACCACGGTGCGCGTCCATCAACATGGCAGAAAACATGAGACTGAAGAGGATGAACGCTAGTAAAAATACCTACTTCATTGCATTGGTTGCTGCGAATGCCTCGGAGATTGCGCCATTGCCCGTGGCGCGCACCATCGTCTCACCGTGAGCTGACGTATCGTGTGCGTGAAGCGTTCAGGACAGCCGAACTTCTGCATGCTTTTCCACAGTTCTTTGGGACTCACAGCTTCGAAGACTTTTGCTGGGTCCACGAATATGGTGTAGAGGCGAGTGCGCATCTCCTGACATTTCTCTTGTAGTTGGCGTGCGGCAAAGTCTACGTCTGTGGTTGAGCGGTGTCGTCGGAATCCGAAGTGACTTTCTGGCAGACAATATTGTCTTAGATTGCCGTTGAGGCGTTGAGGGGGATGCGGTAGAACACCTTCCCGGCAATTTTTAGCGATGAGGTTCCTCTGCGATTTGCCGGTTTCCTTTTCTCTTGTAGAGGTGAACTACTTTTGCGTCCTTAAAATCCTAAGGAACCCTTACGGAGCGCCACGCATCCTGGAAGAGCGCCGTGAGGTGATTCATCTGACAGTGGCCGCCGTGTATATAGATTCTTGCCAGAGCCGCATCAAGTCCCGTGCTTTCGCGTTGGAGATATTTTGCACTGCACGGATGACCTCTGGGAGGGCGAAAGATCCAAGTCGATGCTGATTCCCACTTGGATGAGTCAATCGATGGCGACGTCATATATTTCGGAGGGACGGTTGGGTTCATTTCTGATGTGCTTGGACCAGCACTTCAGTTAATAGCAGGAAGTGCAAAGGACACCATTGCAGTTATTTATTCCCTGTAGAACCCTTAGCTGCTCATTCAGGCAGCGGAAGATACTGAGGATTACGGCGAGTCCTTTGACGGCATTGAGTCATTTCTGAGATAATGAAACTGTAGTTTGGAATTTTTTGCAGGTGGCTGCGGATTAAGTTAAGGGTTGCGTGTGCGAGTGCGCGTATATTTAGTTACCGTTTGTTTACATGTCCGTGACTGACTGCGGGTCAAAATGTCTGTAAGCGTGTGCTACGCCAGTATCAACAAACCATAGCCATCGTAGCCTGGTGTGCGCTAGCAGTTCCCTGACACAGGTTCCCCTGACGTAGATGCGCTTGCGCTCCCGCTGTGTATACAGGTGGTGGGCATGGCTGCCCAGTCATCCGCCTCCTTCTGACTCGTTGTTGTGGCGTTGCTATTGTTGGTCAAAAACCTGGTCATTTGCTGTGTGGACCAGGGGGTGTGAAATGGAACGCCAAAGTGCGGACTCGATCGAGCCATCCACCTGCGCCCCCCATCTCTGGTCTTCTTGATCCTTTCTTGTCACCGGGTCCAGGTGGGCAGTGGGAAAGAGAGAGTGCGGTACATGTAGCGCAAGTCACCGTGGCTGCTGCCCCATTCGGTGGAGCCCACCGTAGACATCGTCGAAATCGACGGTCAAACTGTCGACTGGCTGAGCCTGTATCTCTTTAAATTTATCTTTTTAAATTTTAGTCTGCCCTCTCCTCCGTCTTCATCTGCTTAAAAGAATGCCTCTAATCCTGAACTGCCTAACGCTCAGTATATCCAAGACGCTACTCAAGTTAATGACTACGAGATTTCCCTATTATTTTGGACAGTAAAAGTATGAAACACACACGGCCAGCAAAAATTGATCTGGGCAGTTTCCGAGCGCGGACCTCTCTTCCAAAATTTACAAAAATATGGATACCCTGCATTATAGGCGGTTTTACGCTAAGTTTCAGGGAAGTTTGGGTTTATGGTTAGTGCTAGGGTAAGGATTAGGGTTATAGTGTTAATGCTAGAATTAGGCGGGTAAACATTACGGTTAGGGATGGGGTAAGGGGTAAGTATGAAACACAAAATAGGTACCCTTCTTGGAATTCAGTGCAAGGCCA